TGTCAGAGCAGCAAGTCGAGACTGTGGTGCACACAGACCATCCGTGATATGAAACCAGGCTAAACCCAGTACAGATCATGAGCTGGGGTACAGCTCTGAGCAGCAAGCTAACTCATTAACGGTAAGAGGTTTGCCCCTTTTCAGAGCAAAGGGCTCTCTCCCCTGCTCTGCAGCGGTGCCAGAATCCCCCCCAAAGCCCTCTCACTCCCTGCAGGGAGGGGAGGAAATGAATCCCTTCCATCTCTTTGATCACTCGGTAAATGCTGATGTTACTCTGGTCATTGATGTGGTTCGGATCATTTTCCTCCTAGCCTTCTTGGTTTTCCTCAAGTCATCCTCTTCATCAAACAGATCCTGCAGGCAAAAGATCACAGCACATCAGAGCAATGCAGAGTGCAGGGAGCAGCACTTCCTACAAGTTCCTCTGCCCCATGCTTGACTCCCATTTGAAAAGCTTTTGTCCATTCTGCTCCCAGACTTGTTTCTCAGTTCTCCCACCTCTCTCAGTGCAGTTCCTTCACCCTCCTTAGCACTGGCCCCCAACAGACATTCTTCCTTTGCCCCCAGGTCCCTCCAGAGGGACATGTAACAGCAGTATGCAGAAGAGATACAGCAGCTTTCTGCAGCAGTCCTTGTTACAACCTAAAACTCCTCTCTCTGCACTCAGCAGCCTCCCTGTGACCCATGTGTTGTCCTGCTCTCCCCTCTCCAGGGTTAGCTCAGGGTTCCCAAAAAGTATCCTTCCAGGGATCAGTCTCAACAACACAGAGAACTCCCAGGGACACAGCCCTGATGTGTTAAGCCAGCACAATGGGACGAGTAATGTGCAGGACCCTGAACAGGGTTTGTCCCTGCGCTTGACCAGCATGCTACCACAAGTCTGTTTTGGCCTTGTGTGTAGACACCACAACAGGAGGACAGCAAACAGCAGTAGCATAGCTTATCACATGGCTAGGATAGGTCTGCCACCTCCGACCCAGACTGTACTTCCTAAAATCTCTGCTCTCTCATTGAGAGAAGGCAGTCTCTGGCCTGTTATCACAGAGACACAGGAGAGAACCGTGGGATGAGATGGAGGGGACTCAGCAGGGGTTTTATGCTGCAAACCAGACAGTTCCAAGAAGACATGGGTGAGACCTATGGCTCTCCAAAGTCCCTTGCCCTACCATGTACTTGCCAGAAGCCCACAGTTCTTCCTACTGTCAGGTATTGTGGCTCTCTGCCCTCTGAAACCATGACAACTGTTTACAAGGGAAGTGAGAGGGCTCAGAGTGACCAAGACCCTCAGCCTCTGACTCTTGCTGCAGAAATGGGAGCAGGACATGGGCCACCTTGCCAGGTTCTCCCTTACCTGACCCTGCACAGCATCGTCGCTGGCTTCTTGCTCTGAGGAGAAGCTGTCATCCTCTTCTTCAGAGTAGTTATCAATGTCTGGGGAGCGATCTGAAAGCACACAGTGCAGATGCCACAGCTAAGCATGACGCCTGTCACGGCTCCAGTGAAATGATTGGTAGTTGCCTTCGGGTCTGTGATGAGCACTAACACACCTGAAGCTTTGATTTTAGGACCTGAGGGAACGTTCCCATCCTCATGATCAATGGGCTGACTGGACAAAGAGTAAATGCTGATTTCAGCCACGCGGATGTTCACATCCTTCATGTTGCTGTGGAGGCCCAGCAGCTGCCCACCATCCGTTGGGTGCTGCATCACCTAGACAGACAGACAGACAAAGCCCCCTGCCAGGGTGACATGATAGCAGCTGGTAGCCCACCCCGTCTTACAGCTACTCAACAAGCCAGAGCACTCCCCGCTCTGAGCGCCTGCCCCTGGCCCAGCTCCCTTCCTGGTGCTGACACAGGGAAGCCACGTCCTACCTCCCTCTGCTCCCAAGCACCCCGTACCTCGGCCATGTTAATGATTCCCACTGCAAGGGTCTTGTAGCCCAGGATTGTGCGGTTCTTGTACCTCTTCCTCCGCTGCAGCATGATCTGTAGCTTGTTGCCATCTCTCTTGAGGAAGTGTGGGTACTGGAGAAGCACAGGGAGGATGGCAGCATGAGGGCAGGGCTCAGCATGACACACAGGTAAAAACCTCCTTAGTGCTGATGTACAGCAGGATCTGACCTGATGAACTTCAAGGCGCCCCTCAAAGGCCACCACCACTCCACATCATTCTCTATATCCCCATGCCCAGCACAACCACCCCTGAAGCAACAGAGCAGCTGGCCAGCAGCAGAAATCTGTGCTGTTATGATCTGAGCATGGGCAACCACAGGAGGCCCCTCCTCAGACGCTGCTCCCTTCACACTGAGCCCCCGAAGCTGTGCTTGCTGAGGAACACCAGGTGAGGGGAGCAGGAGGGGCCCAGGTGACCAGGCAACACAAGGTACCTGCAGTGAGAAGGTCAGCTCCAGCTCTGTCTCCATCAGGCCGCCAGGCGGGAGGACGTATTCATTTGATCTCAGGACTCGCTTTGAACCCTACAACAAGATTAGCAGATGCACACGGCTAAGCTGGAGCATCCTGGCCACAGATTCCAGTGCACCAGGCACACAAGTGTCAATGGTGTTCACAGCCCACAAGGAAAGAGCCAGTACCTTGACTCTGTTCTGTTCCACCCCACTCGCCCAGCTTGTGCCTCAGAAAACTATTCCTAGCCTTTTCCTTGGGCAACAAGGAACACAAACAATCCACGTATACAAACGCTTCTTTGCCCCAGGAGGGCAGTAAGAGAGGCACTCAAACTACACACCCACTCCAACTCTTTTGTTTACTTCTCTGGAGGGGGTCCAGAGAAGGGCAATGGAGCTGGTGCAGGGCCTGGAGCACAAGTGTGATGAGGAACAGCTGAGGGACCTGGTGGGGTTAGTCTGGAGAAGAGAAGGCTCAGGGAGGACCTTATCGCTCTCTACAACTGCCTGAAAGGAGGATGGAGCCAGGAGGGGGCTGGTCTCTCCTCTCAAGGAACAAGGGACAGGACAAGAAGAAATGGCCTCAAGCTGCTCCAGGAGAGGTTTAGACTGGATATTGGGAACAACTCCTTCCCCAAAGGGCAGTCAGGCATTGGCACAGGATGCCCGGGGCAGTGGTGGAGTCACCGTCCCTGGAAGTGTTCACAAACTGTGTAGACGAGGCCCTCAGTGACATGGGTTAGTGGTGGCCTTGGCAGTGCTGGGGAACAGTTGGACTGGATGATCTTGAAGGTCTTTTACAACCTGGTTGATTTTGTGACTCTGTTCTGTCTTTACTAGCTGTACAGCTTGGCTGCTGACAGAGACACTGAATGATTTGGGGATGAAAAATGCTGCCTGTATGCACCAGGCTCTCTTAGTTGCAGGGTGGCACAACTCACAGACTTCCCAGAAAGGCCTGTACTTACTAGCTGTGTCACTCCAGGGCTGTGGGACCAGCTCCAAGTATAAAATAGCTCATGGTGGTTCCTCACTCTCTGCTGCCTCCTTGGGAATGGGCCAGCAAGATGAGACATTGATTTAGGGAGGCAACAGGCTAGGCCAGCACAGCTGCTGTTGAGAATCAGTTACCATGGCTGTTGTGAGCACTCCTTAATTTACACTGTGAGCTCGTGAGCAGATGAGTCAAAGCTAAACAAACAGGCACAGCAGCACAAAGGAATCGGGTCGTTCTCAGAACCTCCACATCCCCTTCACAGCTTTATCCTGACAGATGCTGTGGCCAGCAGGATCCTAAGTTAACCATGGCTAGAAACCCTTCAGCGACTCAGACAAATCCTAGATTTGGCTAAGGTTAGAGCCCCAAGCTCTTCACGTCAACACAACCCAACACCAGGGACATGGAGCTGCTCAAACGAGTCCAGAGGAGGCCACAGAGATGCTCCAGTGGGTGGAGAACCTATACTCTGGAGACAGGCTGAAAGAGCTGGGCTGGTTCAGCCTGGAGAAGAGAAGGCTCCAGGGACACCTTAGCGCAACTTCCAGTGCATAAAGGGTTGACAAGAAACCTGGAGAGGGGCTTTTGACAAGGGCCTGTAGGGACAGGACAAGGGGGAATGGCTTTAACTTGACAGAGGGGAGATTGAGATGAGACATTAGGAAGAAGTTCTTCCCTGTGAGGGTGCTGAGGCCCTGGCACAGGGCGCCCAGAGAAGCTGTGGCTGCCCCATCCCTGGCACTGTTCAAGGCCCGGCTGGACACAGGGGCTTGGAGCAACCTGCTCTAGTGGAAGGTGTCCCTGCCCATGGCAGGGGGTTGGAACTGGATGAGTTTTAAGGTCCCTTCCAAGCCAAACCAGTCTGGGATTCTATGATCTCCAATGCAAATGGGGCAGCAGCCCCAGAAGACATGATAGGAGCATGCAGGTGGCACTGTGAAGGAGACCACAGTTATATTCCCTTTGCAATCAGAGAATGGCAATGACACAGGCATGTTTCAGCACTCAGCGAGCACCCAAGGCTGCTTGCTGACAGGAAGCAGGATCCAGCAGAGCTGAGTAGTGCTGATAACAGGTCTTTCTTTCACCTCTGTTGATGGTATTACCCATGCTAGCAAGGAAAAATGAAACCAAACCACCTATAGAGGGGAGGTAAAAGAAAGGCCTTCACATTTTGCAGTAATGCAGCATTACAGTTCTCACTGATATTTGAGCAAAGACAAGCTCTAGGAAACCCTTTCTGGTTTTCAAGAGGCCCAGTTTAAGCTGTCTGCAGCACTGTTCCCAGTGACAGTGCCAGGAGTGAAAGGTTTTCCTAAACTGAAAGAGGTGGAGCTCATCCCCTTCACCATCTGTGAGTTTTCCTGGCCAAGAATGCACTTCCTTCCTGAACATGTCTTTAATAAGAGGTGATAGGTGGTCACTGTGACCATGTACTTCAGCACACTTACTATTTGCTGTTTGTTGCAGAGAGGATGTTCACCAAAGATCCCTCTTTCATCAATACACACATATACCCACAGTCATAGAATGGTTAGATCTTCACTACCCAATAGACTGAAAACCTACAGGAGCTTTCTCTCCTATGCACAAGTGCATGGTGCCCAGCTTTGGTTTGCAACAGACAATCCCCAATTTCAGGGATAAATCTGTCCTGGTGGGTCTTGTTCACAGTACAGGATTGAGGCTGGAAGAGCACACCAAACTTGGAAAAGGAGAACTAACGCAGCATGGGAGACCAGGGCAAGGCAGGCAGCAAAGCACCATCCAGAATTTGAGCTACAGGTGCACTTTGGGAGAGAATAGCCTATTAGAGTATCATCAAGAAAGGTAGTTAGGGGGCAGGTGGGATTGATCAGGTACGAGTGGAAACTCCTACAAGTGGTTGCAAAAAGATTAGAAACAAAACGTGAGTGAGGTGTCAACAGAAAAGTCTGTATGTACCTTCCGTGCATAGCAAGGAGGAGCAAAAAAATCCCAGTTCCAGCAAGGAGTAGGGCCAGGGCAGCAGGCAGAGACAAGAAACTCCTTAGCCTGGCCTATTCTGCAGCACACATTCCGGTCCACCATGCAGGACCCGGAGCGATTCTGTCCATCATCTGTCTACAGCAGCACCAAGGGTTGAACCTGAGTCACCAGACACATCCTGCAAGCAGCTGCTGGAGGATCTGCATCCCTCCCAGAGCCCCTGCCACTGGAGCAGCAAGTGCTGGGGGTGCTGGGGCTTGTTTTCTTATTTCTTGGATTGTTTCCTCAATTCACGGCTCAGGACTGGGCGGTTCTGAATGAGTGTGTGTGTGTGCCAGGAGGGAGCATCACGTTTCCCTTCACACCATAATCAGTTACAATGCCAAAACAGAGATTTGCATTTGCATGGAGCTGAGCCAGGCACACCTGAATCTCTTAATCCCATGCTGAACAAAAAGGAAATGCTCTGACATCTCTAGTCTGTTAAACCAAATAATAAGGGATAAAGGTTTAAAAACCACCCAAGTGATAGCAAAGTCCCCTTTTCCACGGTAGTTCAGACTGGAAGCCACTGAATGTTAACTATTCAAATAACCTCTGGGAAATGGGTATGTTCTGTAGACATGGATCACTCCCTTAGTCCTTTGACAGCAGTCTTTTCAGATGAAGGAGCAGATAACAGCCCATGCCATTTGTATTTTAAGACCAGAAGGGCACGATCACTGTGAGAAGGAGATCAGATATTCCAGACAGGCTTACACTGTCCTTTGGGTCACATACATTCATGGAGCAGACTGTCTCCAGAGCTGGGGCTGTTGTCCTGGTGCCAGCCCCTCTCAGGCAGGGTCAGAGGTTTGTTTGCATGCAATCTGCCTTTCAGAGCAGCAACTTCCTGACGGGTAACTTCCTTAACCCAGCACAGCTACTACTGAAATGAGAGAAAATCTAGCTCCCTTTCCTCTAGTCCCCAGCTGCCCCCTTGGGAACTTGCAGGTCCTCCACAAATCCCATACCTCAGCTGTTTCCATCCAAAAGATGGAGATGGCAACGCCTGCTGAGCAGCCTTCAAACAGCTTCTTGCTAGCATGACTCATCTGTTACCTAGGAGAGGAGCAGGAGGGATGGATCCATCCGAGGCCATTCCGTAGGCAGGCTGCGCTGGAGCTGCCTACAGCTTCCATCTGTCTCCCAGGAAGACTCAGCAGTCCTCGGCCCTGCCTGGTGGCTGGTCAGGCAGGTGGAAGCAGCCTCGGGAGGGACACAAACCCACCTGCTCCCACAGTGGGTATGGAGACACAGGGTCATGTGGGCAGAAGCATTCTCCTCCTGTTTCCTGCAGCTTTCGAGGGAGCATACACCAGCACATGGCCACAGCTACGTGGCCACACAGAGGGAAGGTGACCATGTTTAAATTAAGAACCTGAATGCAAGAGATGGAATCCCACAGTGCAGCCTCTTCCAGCCTCATGTTTGCAGTGCATGAGAGAAGAGGCAGCTGAGGATGGAAGGAGGGCTGCACAGAAGCCAGAGGTTCCCAGTTCAGAGAAACAGCCAGCTTGGGCTTACAGCCCAGGAGATGAAAAGGAGTGAGGGCCCAGCCCAGCCCTCCCAGCCATGGCCCCAGCTGGCTCCCAGACCCTGGATCTATCTGTGGCACAGCCTGGATTGCTCCTGCATTTCCCGGAGCAGCCAGACAGCTTTCTCCTGTCCAGGTTGTTCCCTTGCACCAAAGGGACACAGGTCTTAGCTCTCCTGAATAGCACCATATAGACAGTGATGGAAAGGTCAGCAAAGTGGGATGCTGACCAACAGTGTGTGGAACACAGCATCCTCCTACTGTCCTCCCTCTTAGCTTTCAGTTCCTCCTGTGCCAGTGAATCAGGTCTGCCATGAAGCAAACCCCAGCTCCCAGTGCTCCGCTAATACTGCAGCTTCCAGCACTAATCCAGGATTTAGATCCTAATATGTACGGCACAAAGAGCAATGTGGGAGTGCAAAGCTGCTGAGCTCCCACCCCACGGTGCTGTCCATGGGACCAGCAGCTTCTCTGCCAGCTGACAAGTACGAAGAAAGGACACTGCATCCCAGCTGGGTTAGGGGAGCCGTGGCCAGGACAGCATACCCAAGAGGTATCTTGCTTCTACACTGTCCTTTGGCAGGCAGAAAGGATATGCCTGCACCCACAGGGACCCATCTCCTTTCCACCAGCTGCAGAGAGGGAAGGGGGAGGACTGCTCGTACCAGGAGGACAGCAAATTCCCTCTCCCCTCTGCCTGGTTCAGAGCAGAGGCTGCTCTGAAGAGAGAGCTGCGTGGAGAGAAAGCACAGAGAAAGGGAGGGAACAGCAGAGGCAGCAGTGAGATCACAAGGTGCAAATGTCAGCAGGAGTCAAGCTGCTGATCCCTTGTGCTCTTTCCTTCCCACCCGTCACTCTCCAGGGAGGGAGGGCACTGCCAGAAACCACCCAGCACTGGTTGGGAATGGTGGGGTAGGGGATTCCAAACTCCAAACAGCAGCTCCAGAGGAGGGCCTTGGCTGAGGCAGGCAGGCAGGTAGGCAAGACACACTCTGTCCCAGTGGAGAGGCCTAACCAAATTCATCCCCAACAAAAACCAGCACCAGGTGGCTTGCTGCTGTCCCTGCAGCATCGTTCCCACCTGCGTGAGAGCCAAACCCTCCCCAAGGGTGCTAACCAAGACAGAAGCAAGGGGTTGTCACAAGGCAAGGGACATGAAGATCAGCACTTCACAGAGGGCACAGGGACGGGCTTCCTGCCATCAGGCAGGGAGAGAAGCCTACCTGGATCTTCACAGCGATAAGCACAGAGCTCAGCTCTTTGTCCAGCTCTTTGAGGACTGTGAGTTTCTTGAGGCGCAGACTGCAGAGCCTGTAAGACAGAGAGAATGGGACACATTCAGGCACCACCATCCCTGGGGCCCTGCCACATGGTACCTGGTGCTCGGAAGGTAGCCCCGGTGCTCGGCCCAGCCACAGGCACAGGCTCGGCTGAGGAGCACTGGCATTCATGAGCCACGGAGGCAGCCCATTGGGGAAAAAAGGAAAGAAGGAAAATTAACAGAGCTAAAGCAGGCTTAAAGGATTAGCATGCAACAGGAAGTCCAACAGCAGGCCATGTGGTAAAGAGATCCCTTCCCAAGCAGGGATGTTGCCAGCTCTGCTTAAATCTACCTTGGCGACAGTGCTGTTTATTTATAAACCAAAGCACTTAAATCCACTCTTATCCTGGACTTAGTTAAGGCAAATGTTCCCATGCAGACATCACAACTCAGCTGCCTCTCGCACAGTGCTGTGCAGAGCTGACCTGGGAAGCTTCACACAGGAAGCCTCATGCAGCAGAGCCACCCTGACAGACCCAAACCCTGCCAGGAAAAGCCCATGAAGGAGCCTGAGGCCGAGTGAGAAGAGCTACTGGTGCTGCTCGAAGGATTAGTCAGTGCCTGTGAGATAGCAGCTACTGCCAGCTCCTGCCCAGGAGCCTAAAGCAGGGCTCCCATGGAGACTGCTTGTGAGGACCTATCATAGCATCAACCAGGTTGTAAAAGACCTTCAAGATCATCAGATCCAACCGTTCCCCAGCACTGCCAAGGCCACCACAAACCCATGTCACTGAGGGCCTCATCTATGCGGTTTGTGAACACTTTCAGGGATGGTGACTCCATCACTGCCCTGGGCAGCCTGTTCCAATGCCTGACTGCCCTTTGGGGAAGGAATTGTTCCTAATATCCAGTCTAAAGCTGCCCTGGTGCAGGTTGAAGCTGCAACCTGAGGGCAGTGGTGGAATCACTGTCCCTGGAAGCTTCTTCTGAAGCCAAGGTACTTCTTGAGCTGTCAGTGGTTGGATGCATAAGACACCACTGCTGTGTGCAGAGGGGAGGAGAGACCTACTCCACTTTCAGAAAGCAAGTCCCTGTTGCCAGCAAACAGGAGCGATGAACTGGGACAGCAGCAGGTTCTTCATCAGGCCCTGCAGCTCTGGCACCAGAATGATCAGGCCAATCACACGCTGTAAGATGAACTGGGATGAGAAGTGACTGCTTTGAGAGCCTCCCAAGGGGAAGTGTGACAGAGCACTTGCTAGCACACGCTACCTCTCTGCCTCCAGCAACTTCAACTGCTGCAGCCTGGGAAGGGCAAGTAAAGCAAGCTGCAGTGGTGTAACGCAGCAGGATGCAGAGCCAAAGGCCATGACAGCACCCTCCTGGAGTCCCCATGGAGAGACCTGTACAAAGGCTTGCTGTACATCAGGTGCCCCAGTTGAGCTGTGCACAGCAGTGTGCAGCACAGCAGCCCTGGTGCTGACCAGGAACCCTCTCCTTGCCATGAGAGTAGCATTTTGGCTCTCCAGTATCCTGGCTACCAATAGCACACATCTGCTCTGCTGCTGGATCCAGAGCAGGCTTGTGTCACTGCAAATTGCAGTAGGTTTGGCTCATCCCAATTCCCCAAGTGACCTTTCCAAAGAAAATCCCAAAGCGTAAGAGACAAGAAGACAGAACTGGCCAGGTTGCTACATCCCTTTGTTTCCTGTAAAGCATTTCACAGCTTATGGCTCTGCCTGCCTTAGGAAATCCACTCTGTTTTCCCATAGGACTATTCCTGGTCCCCTCCATCATCCCACCTCCTTCCAAGTACCTCTAGACAGACCAAACCAAGGCCAAAGCTCAGAGATTCTGGAAGAGCAGTTGACACTCTTCTTCCTTTTGTCTCTGAGGGTTATAACACCAAAGGGTAGAAGGAGGACAGAGGGCAAAGGCATGCTGGGAACAGCAAAGGATGCCAGTGCCAGCAGGGTACACACCAGCACAAGCAAGGCAGCATCCTGAGTCAAGACAAAGGAAAGAAAACAGCATCCTGCAAGCAGATACATCCACCTTTCCTTGTCTTCATGGCTGGCTGCTCACGGCTGCCCAGAGTCCTGCTCCCACGTTCGTGTCCTGGGGACCACATGTCCCCAGGGTGGCCATTCGAGACAGACTCTAGCCTCTTTTCAAAGAGGCCAGTGCAGCACATTAAATGGGACCTCAGCACCACTATACTGAATTAGAGCACCTCACTTTTTCTATCCTAACAGGAGAGAAAGCCCCCACTCCAACAGCCCCTGCTGTCCTCATCTGACTGGGCAGTCCATTCTTACCTGCACCAAACACCACCATCTCACCGTCCACATTTACCAGGCATGTTCTGCTCCGATCAGCCCTTGGAAGAGTGCCTAACAACTCTTTAATCTCTGGGCAGATGATCTCGGAACAGTTGTGGTTTGGGCAGCAGCTTGTCTCTGAGCTTGCAGCACCCAGCTGCTCTATTGAACACATTCAGAAGCAGCTTTCCCACAGCAGGGACCTCACACAGGTCTGCCCAGGAGCTCTGACTGCCACCCAGAGGCCTCCTGCGCAGAGCTGGCTCTCCCACTGCGTGCTCTTAGCACTCCTCTGTCTTCAGATATTTATTTCATAGTACTGCAATACCACTGGGACAGCACAGCTACTCCCTAAAGGTGCACAGGAAAGAGCAGGTGATGCCCCAAAGAGATACAACAGTTAGGACAAGGCATAGCAGACCCCCAGGGTGGGTCAAAGGCACCTGCAAGATGAGGAGGTTCAGAGAAGGGACAAGAACATCCACAGACCATGTGCATGTCTCAGCCAGCAGCAGTAGCTACATCATCAGAGGTGAAAGCAGCCAGGGGTGAGGGAGGATCGAGCACAGCCAGGGAATGGGTTCACTGACTTTTGTCTTGAAGATTTAAAATTCACTTTGCATGACAGAAGAGATCTGTTGGATTTATCTGGGAGAACATAAAACTCTTTCTAAATACCTAATGTGATGTGCAAAATCATTCCCTTCCCCAGGGCTTTCAGAACTGACAGCTGAGAGCTGCAGCCCACCTGTAGCCAAAGCTGCTCCTGGACTAGCCACTGTTTCCTTCACAGGGTTTTAACCAGTTATGCTTTTAGAACATCCTCATTGAAAGAGATCAGCCAAGATGTGTTACTGAGAGCACACCAGACACAACCATGTGAGGAGAGGCAGACAGACAGACCCGCAGCACCGCTGTGCTCAGGGGGTGCAGGACTTGTCTTTCCAAAAAGCTACATCTACTCCAGGCTTTCAGCTGCTTCTATGCTGCCAAAACATTACCATGCAGGCAGTGCAAACCTGACCTGCCCGCATGTGAACTCCTAACATGCAGAACTACTCCTAACACTGCATTTCTCCTGACAGAATGGCTGCTCCTGACAGGTTGCTGCCCATGGCATAGTCAGGAATGGTGGGCTGTTCCAAGCAGGAGGGTCATGAAGCATTGGCATGAGGGTACATGGCTTCCCCAGTGCCACTGCAGAGGTCCTGGCATCCCAAATCAGGTCAGAGCAGGCCTAGCTGCAATGGAAAAACAGCTCTAAGGAATGCTTGGCCAGGGCCATGCACCACATGAGGAGCATTCCCTGTTCTCCGGCATGCCCACTAAGCACAGGCAGCAGTGATGCTCTAACCCAGCAAAGATGCCAGGATTCCCACTGCTCCAGCCTGCAGCACTGCTCCTGAGCACAGGTGCCCTCCACCTCCAGGCTGCTGAGCTGCCCGCTGTAGCCTGAATGTGCCTGGCAATGCGCAAGTGTATGCAGCATCTCTCCAAGCACTTGCTGCTCTGCTCATTTCCAGGATGGCTCCATGTGGGACACTGTACACAGCAGACAAAGAGACAGCTAAAGCCAGTATAAGTGCCACCTCCTGACCTGAGGACTGCTTCCTCCTGAAAAATACCACTCTCCTGACCCAGCCACGCTGTGGACTGGGAGCTCCCACATGCTTCCAAGCCTGGACTGCAAATCATAGAATCATAGGATCAACTGGGTTGGAAAAGACCTTCAAGATCATCCAGTCCAACCGTTCCCCAGCACTGCCAAGGCCACCACTAACCCATGTCACTGAGGGCCTTCTCTGCACGGTTTGTGAGCACTTCCAGGGATGGTGATTCCACCTGCTGCTCATGTTCAGCTCCATCAACCAACACCCCCAGGTCCTTTTCTGCCGAGCAGTTTTCCAGCCACTCTGCCCCAAACCTGGAGTGTTGCATGGGGTTGGTGTGGCCCAAGTGCAGGACCTGGCACTTTGCCTTGTTGAACCTCACACCACTGGCCACAGCCTATCATTCCAGCCTGTCCAGACCCCTGTATATAAAGCCCAAAACATAAGCAACTCTTGCTGTCTTGGAACTCCAAACAGCATTTCACTAAGCTCAGTTTTTTCTCCACAATTGCTGTTAAACTTCACAGAAACAGGAGACAACTGTGTGCTTTACATTTGAATCAAGATTCATAAAAAGACATCAGTGATGCAGTTGTATAGGAACAGCTTTGGATGCATGTGTAGCTTGTTCTGAACATGAAGTATACAGTAGTGCTGGGCACCTGACAAGAAACATGAAAACAAGACTGTTATGGGATGGGTGATCAGATCCTGAAGAGAAGGCAACAAAATTTCAATTCAGATATGCATGTAATACCCCATGATGCATAATAATAAGGACGTGTTTAAAATTCAATTTAAAAGAAACAAAAAGATACTCTTATCTCTCTCCAACCCTTAATTTCCCTATATTACAGCTGTGTCTACCATTTAATTAATCAGCTTCTTATCTGTTAGAAAACATCCACATAAAATGGGAAGTTTCTTTTTCTCCCTAGTGATTCACACTGTCACGCTCAAAGAGATCTCCACCCCAGGCCTTGTGAGCATCCTCATGAGAAGGCGTCTGAGCTTCAGAAGCTTTAGGGATATGTGGAGCCAACAGAGCTGCATGCTGAACCCACAGGAGTGAGGGGATGGTGCTGCACAGGCTGTGTGTTCCAGGGAAGACCTCAGCTA